AGAACCAGCAGCAGCAACAACAGCAGAACCAGCAGCAGCAACAACAGCAGAACCAGCAGCAGAACCAGCTGCAGCGCTCAAAACTCCTCTGATAGTTTCAGTAACACCACAAATGAATATGTGACATCAGTAACATCAGTCTCTTATCAATGGCAACATGTTGGTAAAAGCGAGTGGTTTCTCAGACCATGTCTGCAGCCTGTAAGAGATTTAACAAACTCTCTCTCACTGTGCGGCTGCGATGCTAATGCTAATGTTGTTAGCACAGGTAGCTTCCCTTTACAACAGCAGAACTAACCTCTCGCTCTGGGCACAAACAGACTGCTGTGTCTTCAGGGCCAGACAGGTTTATCTTCTGTTTTCTCAATTCTTCGCTCAAAGTGCCGTATTTTTCGCCGAGTCTTGTAGTTTAAGATGTTATTCCTTCAGCACCGCTCTGGTGGAGCCACTACAGACGCACTGGACTCACCCCTGAGCGCGGCGCCTCGCGTCGCGGAGCGGCTTTTTAAAATGTATTTTTATTATATTTTTACATAAATGAGCCACGGGCCGTGTCAAATCTCTTGGCGGGCCGGTTCCGGCCCGCGGGCCGTATGAATGACACCCCTGCTCTACAGGCACTTTGTTTCACCAAAAATACACAGGATTTAATTATAACATCTATGATAAGAATGATTATTATAACAATGATGATGATGTTACTAAACATAATTATAATGATAATAAAACTTTTGAACCCCCAATTTTCAGCATATTTTATAATAATTACAAAATTAAACAAATCAACAATGAAAACTAGCATTTTAAAAGCAATATTCGACATATTGACATATTCTTTAACCGATGAATATAGAAGTACACTGAATTATTATGGAGCAATTGTGTCGCTATATAATTGGAAAACTTAAATGTACTAATGTCAGTAGTCCAGCAATATTAATTGCACTATCAAGAGTCCACAATTTCAATAAACATATGCATCTATATGAAACAATGTAGGTTCTCAGTCATGACTAAACACAAACATCGTAGATCAAATAACTGGACGCAGGTGTGGATGGTGAAAACCCAGTTATGTCAAGAGACATCAAGTAAATCTAGTTTTAGTTGACTTGAAATTGTACGTAAATTTAGATGACTATGTTCCATAACATAATAATGATAATAATTCATTATAATTACATTTAATCACATTCCTCTGCTTCTTGTTTCTCCTCCCATGTTTGTATTTAGTTACATTTAAGGAGATAAAATCATCTGGACATTTTAGTCACAGCTTTCTACTCAAAAACTATTTTTAGTCTAATTTTAGTCACCTACAAATTATATTTACTAAAGTTTTGATAAAGTATTTTAATGGACACAATGAACACTGCTGGCTGGAGGATCAAAACACAGCAAAGGGCAGCAGGGACATGAGGAAGAGGTTTAGAAAGCCAAATCGACAAGGAGGACTCAGGTTTCTGTGTCCAACATCTACAGAGCCATCCGGAAGATGACCCAGACACCGCCTGGAGTAAAGACGTGTTTGGGGCTCCCACCAATGACCAAACCAGTGGTGTAGTCATGGTCAACGGATGACAATCAGATTCTGAGTTGTTCTTTTAGTGCCACTGTGAGTGAACAGGTTAACAAATACTGAAGATGCTGAATGGGCAGTAAAAAGGAAGGAAATAGACACGGGTATCCTAAGGCAGTTAAATCGAAATCCAAAATCCAAAATCTAATTTGGTCTTCCATTCAACTAAAGCTGTAACAATGAATAAAAAAATTATGTACCTGTATCAATACTATTTGCAATGATCTAAAGTGGTATTTTTGGGTTTTATTGTTCAAGAATTTTTTAATCACAGTTTGTCATGATTCCTTGCATTTTTAGTTTTCAATCAATCAATGGTTTTGAATAGTCCAAAATCACAACAGAAGTTGCCTCCTAGAGCTGGAGGAACAGGTGAATTAAAGGAACTATACGCGTTTCTGCAAGGTTTTAATGTTTAGGACCACCCCCAACTTGCTCACAGGCTTCTCATTTCCCTTACGCTCTCTCAGTCTAGTTTTATTTGCGATCTGGTATGTATGCTAACATTAGCATGAGCGCAAGTTCTTGTAAGCTGTACAATAATCACTAATAAAATGGTACAAAAGTAACAAAATATATCACTGAAAGATTACCGCTAGTTTCCCGTCCAAACGTAGTTTGAACAGAGATAGTCCGAGCGTAGATATTCGAGCTTTAGTTCCTCTTCTCTTCCTCACTGTTGTGTGGTTTGGGCTGTTTTGCTGTGTCTGCAGTTACTGCCAGAGGAGTTATAGCCACCTATGCTAACATGCCTCTGTGTTAGCGCTATAGAGGCTAACGCAGCCTCGTTGTGTGATTGGAGGAGAGCGAGCGTCACGCCAAGTTACTACATTCAAGTTGTATTATAATACGTAATTGAATGTAAAACGTGAGCTCATTGATTCAGATGTGATGAATTCAGGAGTAAAAAGTGCTGAGTAGAGGCACTTTTTACTCCTGAATTCATCATCCTGATTTTCCCATTGACTTTGCATTGAAATCGCTTACTTCCAAGTTTTTCTTCCAGATTTATATGTACGTCCATTAAATCTGGAAGTATAAGGGAGCTTCCACATTTATATGTTATTCAATATTACCGATAAAGATGCTAACCATGCTAATGTCCACGCTAATGCTACTATTACTACTACTACACTACTACTACTACTACTATTGGTCTACTGGTGATGCTAATGCTAATGCTAATGGTGATGCCAATGCTAATGCTAACGTTAATTGTTATGTTAAAGCTAATGTTAATGGTGATGTCAATGGTGATGCCAATGGTGATGCCAATGGTGATGCTAATGCTAATGCTAATGTTAATGGTGATGTCAATGGTGATGCCAATGGTGATGCTAATGCTAATGCTAATGCTAATGCTAATGTTAGTGTTAAAGCTAATGTTAATGGTGATGTCAATGGTGATGCTAATGCTAATGCTAATGCTAATGTTAATGTTAAAGCTAATGTTAATGGTGATGTCAAAGGGTGATGCTAATGCTAATGCTAATGCTAATGCTAATGCTAATGTTAATGTTAAAGCTAATGTTAATGGTGATGTCAATGGTGATGCTAATGCTAATGCTAATGCTAACTTAATGGGTTTTTGGGTCTCCACTCACACAGCGGTGTCTCTGACACCAGCTGGACACGCTCAATGAAGGGCAAGTTCTTATTCCCAAGTTTTGCGCAAAGTTAGATCTAGAGCTCTACCATTTGGACAGGTCATAGCCTGTGTCGCTGGGATAGCGGGAAAAATAGGGGCCAGTTCTAATTCCCACACTTTTGCGCAAAGTTGCTGCTAGAGCTCTACAATTTCGACAGGTCATAGCCTGTGTCGTTGCGATACCTGGGAAAATACTAATAACTTTGTATCTTTTGAAACGGCCCTACAATCGGTGAATGAATTTTGAATTTTGGCGGACCTTGCTGCAGCTCATATATGTGACTCGTCACATGAAGGGCTTTCCAACAATACCTCTATCATCGCTCTACGACCTCGTTTGGCCGAGTTATAACACTTAACGAGGGGAGCGGTTTCAAACGGTTGTCGCCCCCTAGCTCCGCGGTGGAACATGGCAGGGACAAAAGCCGTACACCGTTGCGTTCGGCTGGCCGAGCCGGTTCCGTAGAGGTCTGATTTGTGCCTGTGCGACCTTCGGAACAGGTTTTGGCCTTTGATCGCCTAGCTTTTTAGGGTAGGGTAAGGGTATACGGTCCTGAGACCGTCTTTAGCTTCTGGTCCAAAAACGGTCACTCGGACTTCCGAAGGGGTTAGACGCCTGAATTTTGGATATGTGGTAGAGGGCCACGAGACGAGTCCAACGGTGTAGGGTAGACCTCCGGGGGCCTTACGGTTCTCGGTGGGCGGGCCTTCGTTCGGTAAAAAATCTCACGCTAATTAAGCTCATCACGGCTTCAAATTTAATGGAAACGAGTCCAAATTCGGCACACGCCCATTTCAACCCCGTCCGACCGAGAATCTAAAGTTTCAACCCACTCGGACACTCGGTTGGCTACTTTGCTTCCTATTGGTCGGTTTGAGCGGGCGCCTACATATTCGAGCTCAGAATAGCCTGCTGTGTAACATAGTCAAAAATGAGGCTGGTAGTCCAAAGTTGAAATGTTGGTACACCTCCCCTTTAAGGTTAGGCTTTTGAAGGCCCAAAAAGTGCTTGGAGGCTTGTTAAAAGTTCAAATTTCATCCAAACTAGTCGAAACTTGGTACGCACCCTTCTACGTACAGGCTGAACATTAATCCAAAGTTTCAACTGGCTCGGCCACCCGCTTTTTAAAAGAGGAGGGTCTCGGTGGCCAGGAAAATCCAGGAAAGTCCTGATTTTGGTTGGAGGACAGCGCCACCTTGCTGCAGCTCATATATGTGACTCGTCACATCTAGGGCTTTCCAAGGACACCTCCGTTATCGTTGTACGACCTCGTTTGGCCGAGTAATTCGACTTAACGAGGCGCATTTTTTAAAAAATTCGTCGCCCCCTAGCGCCGCGGCTGAACATTGCAGGGTCAAAAGCTTTACACCGTTGCGTTCAGCTGGCCGAGCCGATTCCGTAGAGGTGTGGTTTGTGCCTGTGCGACCTTCGGAACAGATTCCCTTAAATCCTAATCATGACCCCCGAGTCAATATCCAACATAATGTGGGTCCGCTGTTGGTAGAGTGGTTAAGGTGAAGGGATGGTGATCCAATGCTCGCGGGTTCGAATCCTGCTGATGCCATTTATATTATTATTGTAAAATTAGAGATCCAGTGGTCAGTGGACTCTAAATGTATTTGAAAATGACTAAGAAGGAATTTCTGTTTTTTTAGTAGTCTACTGCTAATGCTAATGCTACTGATACTGCTACTATCACTACTACTACTACTACTACTACTAGTCTACTACTAATGCTAATGCTAATGCTAATTAGCATTAGCATAACAAACACTCTCCTTTCTCCTTGTCTCCTCTCCTCTCTCCTTGTCTCCTCTCCTCTCTCCTTGTCTCCTCTCCTCTCTCCTTGTCTCCTCTCCCCTCTCCTTGTCTCCTCTCCTCTCTCCTTGTCTGCTCTCCTCTCCTCTCTCCTTGTCTCCTCTCCTCTCTCCTTGTCTCCTCCTCTCTCCTTGTCTCCTCCTCTCTCCATGTCTCCTCTCCTCTCCTTGTCACCTCTCCTCTCTCCTTGTCACCTCTCCTCTCTCCTTGTCACCTCTCCTCTCTCCTTGTCACCTCTCCTCTCTCCTTGTCACCTCTCCTCTCTCCTTGTCTCCTCTCCTCTCTCCTTGTCTCCTCCTCTCTCCTTGTCACCTCTCCTCTCTCCTTGTCACCTCTCCCTCTCTCCTTGTCTCCTCCTCTCTCCTTGTCTCCTCCTCTCTCCTTGTCACCTCTCCTCTCTCCTTGTCTCCTCTCCTTGTCACCTCTCCTCTCTCCTTGTCACCTCTCCTCTCTCCTTGTCTCCTCCTCTCTCCTTGTCTCCGCTCCTCTCCTTGTCACCTCTCCTCTCTCCATGTCTCCTCCTCTCTCCTTGTCACCTCTCCTCTCTCCTTGTCTCCTCCTCTCTCCTTGTCTCCGCTCCTCTCCTTGTCACCTCTCCTCTCTCCATGTCTCCTCCTCTCTCCTTGTCACCTCTCCTCTCTCCTTGTCTCCTCTCCTCTCCTTGTCTCCTCTCCTCTCCTTGTCACCTCTCCTCTCTCCTTGTCTCCTCCTCTCTCCTTGTCTCCTCCTCTCTCCTTGTCTCCTCCTCTCTCCTTGTCTCCTCCTCTCTCCTTGTCACCTCTCCTCTCCTTGTCTCCTCCTCTCTCCTTGTCTCCTCCTCTCTCCTTGTCTCTCCTCCTCTCTCTCCTTGTCTCCTCCTCTCTCCTTGTCACCTCTCCTCTCTCCTTGTTTTCTCTCCTCTCTCCTTGTCTCCTCCTTGTTGACTCTCCTTGTTTTTCTCTCCTCTCTCCTTGTCTCCTCCTCTCCTTGTCTCCTCCTCTCTCCTTGTCACCTCTCCTCTCTCCTTGTTTTCTCTCCTCTCTCCTTGTCTCCTCCTTGTTGACTCTCCTTGTTTTCTCTCCTCTCTCCTTGTCTCCTCCTCTCCTTGTCTCCTCCTCTCTCCTTGTCTCCTCCTCTCTCCTTGTCTCCTCCTCTCTCCTTGTCTCCTCCTCTCTCCTTGTCACCTCTCCTCTCTCCTTGTTTTCTCTCCTCTCTCCTTGTCTCCTCCTTGTTGACTCTCCTTGTTTTCTCTCCTCTCTCCTTGTCTCCTCCTCTCCTTGTCTCCTCCTCTCTCCTTGTCACCTCTCCTCTCTCCTTGTTTTCTCTCCTCTCTCCTTGTCTCCTCCTTGTTGACTCTCCTTGTTTTCTCTCCTCTCTCCTTGTCTCCTCCTCTCCTTGTCTCCTCCTCTCTCTTTGTCTCCTCCTCTCTCCTTGTCACCTCTCCTCTCTCCTTGTCTCCTCTCCTCTCTCCTTGCCTAGTTTGCTGTGCAGTTTACAGATGTTGTGATTTGTTTTCCATACATCTTGTGGTATTTTCAGAAAACAAGTTAATAAAAGAGAATGGTTACATCTATATAACACTTTTCTACCTTTGTTAGACACTCAAAGCGCTTAAATCAAGGATCCACTCATCCATGCTCTCATTCATGCACCAAAATGTGCATTAAGCAGTGGGCTGAATCTTATACCTCATTAGTTTTAGTTCATAGTGATACTATCAATTCAACATAATTTCATGATTATGCAGAAAATAATATGCACATGTTGCTAAGAATAATAATAAAAAAGATATATTATTTAAACTTTGTTTATTAGTCTTAGGTGCACAGATCATTAATCAATACATAATTACAGTAAATAGTCAAGATGGAGATACACTCAATTCAATACGAAGTTAATAAAAATATGATACCCATCTTTCTTAAAATTCAGCTTACTTATGAATGTTATTAATGTTTACCTTCTTCAGCAGGATCTTTTCATCAAAATGAAAAGCTTTCATATACATTTGTAATAGTTCTGTTCATGTGTGAAGAAAGGTCCCCACTAGGCATCACTAAAACAAGGTTTTTTTAATAGTGACACCCGCTGGTGGTTTATGGTATGAGGTCCCCAGGAGAATAGAAAAATCGGACAAAAAAAATAAAAATGAATTGTGATGATTAACATGATTTCAGGAAGACCACAGTCCAAAAAAATTATCTGTCTTTATATCATTTTTTTATGACTTAAGACATGCCTTAAATTCTTGTTCAAAGTGAGGACCCCACGCGGTAGGTCCTAAACACACCAAAAAATTTGGTCCTCACCATGTAGCAAAAACATGTATGTGTGTGTGTGTGTGTTTACATTGTTGGGGAATGTCTTAGTGTTAGATCTCTGTTGTAAATATGTGTCTATTTTATTCTCTCTGTAAAAGCTCACAGGGACAGGAGATCACAGGGACAGGCGCTCACAGGGACAGGCGCTCACAGGGACAGGAGCTCACAGGGACAGGCGCTCACAGGGACAGGAGCTCACAGGGACAGGCGCTCACAGGGACAGGCGCTCACAGGGACAGGCGCTCACAGGGACAGGAGCTCACAGGGACAGGCGCTCACAGGGACAGGAGCTCACAGGGACAGGCGCTCACAGGGACAGGAGCTCACAGGGACAGGCGCTCACAGGGACAGGCGCTCACAGGGACAGGCGCTCACAGGGACAGGAGCTCACAGGGACAGGAGCTCACAGGGACAGGAGTTGAAAACTGTGTCGCATGTTTCCTACTGTAACTATGTACGACTACATCGTCTCTGTCAAATAAATAAATAAATAAAATAAAGTTTATCAGATGTGTTGTGTCGGAGCAGAGGCTAAAACTGAAAACTTGAAAATTGTTCAAAAGTTTAATTCTGTAACAACTCAAAGGGACAGAGGAGGATGTTCTACTTCTGGGTGGATCATCTATATTGGTCCTCCCAACTGTCAATCATTCTGGTGACACGTGCTCGTTCAATCAGACACTGTAGAGAGGGCGGTTCTTTCCTAAAGTTTGGGAAAATCCTCTTACACTGAAACAAATATGAACCAATATATAAAAATAAGTAAAATACTGTTTAAAATTACTAAAAAAATTATCTGAAAATAGAAGAAAATGACTTTTTTCTCTAAGATTATGAAGTATTATCTTTAAACTAGTAAAATTATCTACAAAAACTACATTCAAGCTAAAAAATAAGCCACATTTATGTTATTTTTAGTGAATAAATCTGACCCAGATTTGAGTGTTTTCAGTGTTGAGTGAGAATGCTGCTCGCTCCTGTTTTTGCCTCTGGGTTTTTAGAAGCAAAGCGACTCCAAAGTGACGTGAGAAGGAACAGAACGAGCCCGACAGCGGAAACATTGCAATACAGATCTTTAATAACAACATCAGGCACTTAGTGGACCACGAACGGCGCCTCACGTTCCTTTAATTCTTCTCTTTTTGCACATTTATTAAAATAGAACTTTGTCACAAAGCAAAACACCATCGATCTCTATAACTACAATATCATACAAAAGGTATCAACAAGTCTGAGCACAATAAAGCACCTTTCGCCCAAACTTTTTATAATAAACATTTGGCTTTTTAAAAACACAGATGTGAGTGTGTCCTGGGTCCTGGTGGGTTCAGTGCACGGTGTCGGGAAGATGGACCAGAGAGGGACCAGAGAGGGACCAGAGAGGGACCAGAGAAGGACCAGAGAGAGACCAGAGAGGGACCAGAGAGAGACTAGAGATGGACCAGAGAAGGACCAGAGAGAGACCAGAGAAGGACCAGAGAGAGACTAGAGATGAACCAGAGATGGACCACAGAGAGAGTCCAGAGATGGACCAGAGATGGACTAGAGAGGGACCAGAGAGGGACCAGAGAGAGACTAGAGAGAGACCAGAGATGGATCAGAGAGAGACTAGAGATGAACCAGAGATGGACCAGAGAGGGACCAGAGAGGGACCAGAGAGGGACCAGAGAGAGACTAGAGAGAGACCAGAGATGGACCAGAGATGTACCAGCCTACACACGGCGTCCACATAGTATTTTATGAATGAAAATCAGAGAAGACCAGGTGTGTCGTACTGTAACTGCTACAGGAACATTCACATTACAATAGAACACATAGCACCAGGTGGAGGCTGGAAACCAGGCGATACAGTAAAGTTTAAACATGTGGGATTATGAGTGAAAAGAGTCGTCTTTGGTAAAAAACACATAATGCAAAACGAACATGCATCTTGTAAAAACAGACCATCGTTGACTTTTCTTTTCAAGTATTATTCTTTAACTTCCCTTTATGAAATATAATCTCTATAAGCGATACTATTGACACTGGTAACGCAGTAATGGTCTCCCCACTGTCGCATATTCGTTCCATCTATTCGTCCTCACATTGGTTTAATGAAAAGAAGACATAAAGTGACTATGTTAAGTGTTTTTAAAAATAGTATTTCACAGAATAAGCTGTGCAATCTCTTTCACCGTGATCCAGGGGTGGAAAAGTGAGGCAGACAGGGCAGGTGTGGCTGCAGGGTTCCATTCCAACCGAGCAGGAGAAGGCCTCAAGTCTTCAGGTTAAGACTAGACTCACGAGAGGGAATGAGTGGAGTCTAGTCTGCTTCTATTCACTTCTATTCTATTTCATTTCCTTTTGTATCGCCCTAAATCACAACAGTAGTTATCTCGGAGACTTTACAAGAGAATCAAAGAGTTCAAAGACAGTAAATATAACGATAACAAACACAAAGAGCCATTGGTCCATAAGGAGCTGAGACCAATGTGCGTAAATGTTGATAAACTCCTGGTTGGAATGAACACCTGCAGCCACACTGGCCCTTTGAGGACCTGTTCAAACCCCTGCGATCATCCAGAACAAAACCCACCGTCCACACTCCCCCCATAACCATCAGTTTATGGTCTCGGATGTGTCCTTCCTCAACGGGATCTTGAAGCTGGTGAGTTTCTGTCCAAACAGCTGGCTCAGGATGTGGTTCTGCGACTCTGCTGTCCGGAACGAGTGCCCGTTGTCCATGGCTCGCACCCCCATCTTGGCCTTGGACTTGTGGAGAGAATTGTTCATGGGGACTTTGGAGATGGGCGAGTGCAAAGGCCGCGCCATGCTTCCTTTCTTGGCTTTGAAATCCCCGTTGAGCGAACTCACAGCGTCGCTCTTCTTTGGCGTGAAGCTGTCGTGTAAACTTTTCTTGGGTTGAGCGTTGGGTTGAGTCTTGCTTTTGACGACCATCTTGTTGCTCCCGATGTCGCTGTGCATAGAGGACAGCACCGGGTACTCTTTGGGCCCGTCTGACTTCCTCTGCATGGCCACAGGTTTCCCGGTCCGAAACTTCTTCCTGGCCTGAGTCTCGATGTCTATGTTTTCCTGCGTGGCTGGAGACGACACTCTTATCGAACTGTGAGAGGTTTTCACGTCTTTTCTCTTCTTCTGCAGTTTGGGAATCTCTTTGTCGTCGTTGTGCGGCTCCACGCTGCCTCGGTGTTGTGTGAGAGATGACTTGGAAAGATCTGAGGGTTTTAATCTCTCTTTGAGGCGACTGATGTTGTTCTGCTCCACCGTCTGTCTTTTCGTTTCGTCGTTGGAGACCTTTGATGCTTGCGGCCTCGGCTCGTCCTTTTTGTGGGGCTCAGAAATTATGGTGTTTAACTCTGCCGCCACCATCGTAACATTTTCTTTAACACAATAAAGAGAAGGTGCATCCTCTAGTTTTTCAGATAATGCATCGTCTTTCCCGTTTATAATCTCCTCCACTTCCTCTCTGGCTTCTTTGGCCGCTGCTTTAATGCAAACAGACTCATTCTCTTCTTTCACATCACATGCGTCGCTAATAAATGTTTCATTACCGTCTGCGTCAGGATTAGGCGAAAGCACAGGCTCCATTTCCTCCTTGGGCGAGTCTTTGCTGCCCATGTGAATGCATTTCTCCAGCTCGATAAGCAGATCCGAGTAGTCCTCTGCAGCATCCTCTGTCTTTACATTGTTGCTGGTGTCGTCGTGGAACTCGCCGACGGTGGTCTGCGTGGAGTCGTCCGCCGTGGAGATGCAGGACTTGGAGGGCTCTGAGTTTTGGTGCAGAGGACTGACACTGGCGATGCCGCTGTCGGAGCTGTTTTCCGCCAGACTGTCGGCGAGAAGCCTCCTCTTTTTACTGCCAGGAGAGTCGCATTCGTCGTCTGTTGTGGATGCGGATGCTTTGACGGGCCTCAGAACCCCTCGGAACTTAAAGATCTTGTTTCCCCCCAGGCGGTGCTTCTCCATGTGTCGGTCAAACTGCTCTTTTTTGGAGAAAGTGTAGTTGCAAGTGCTGCAGATGAAGGATTTTTTGATGACATGCATGACGTCTGCGCAGAGCTCACACGTGTAGAGGGTTGTGTGTTTTGAATCCTTCTCGTCTGCGTCCTCGTGCTCTCGCTTCAGATGCTCTTTCAGATCCTGGGCCTCCTGGTACGACACGGGGCACTTGTGACAGAGGAATATTTTCTCCAAGTTGTGCACGACCAAATGCCGCTGCAGCTTGAAGGGTTTGGGGAATTGCTTGCCGCAGTGGTGGCAGTCTCGAGAGGGGTCTTTGCAGTTGGGATGGATCTCCACGTTCTTGGGCGTGTCGACTTTGTGAAGGACCTCGAGCGGAGTCAGAATGCTCGGCCTCCCACTGGGCCCACTTTTCACTTTCTGCACTTTCGCCTCCTCCGTCGCGCTCTCCGGGGGATGTTTCTTTTCTGCTTCTTTCACCGCCGCTTTACTGGATTCTCGGCTGGCTTTGCTGGGCCGATGCTGCATTATAGAGGTAATAAAATTCTTCACAGCTGTCTCCTGCATGATACCAGAAATACCCAGCATAGAGCCTTGACTTTGACCTCTGCGGGCGAACTGCGTAGCGTGCTCTCGGAGGTGCTCGTTATACATCCACACGTCCGATATCTCCTTCAAGCACATGCCGCAGGTCCAGATCCCGCTCTTGTTCTTGGCATGCTTCTCCCACAGATGGTCTCGGAGCTGCTCTCTGGAACTGAACTTGCGCTGGACACACATGTAGCAGGTGGGGGGAGGGGAGGGGTTGTGCGAGAGCTTGTGGAAGTTCAGCTCGCCCAGAGTGAGAAACCAGCTGAAGCAGACCTTGCACTTATACTGCTTGTCTTTGACCTTCAGGCCGCCCTCTTGACGTTTGCGTCCACGGCGTTCTTGGTGCTTGCTGCTCTTGTCTTCCTCCTTTTTCTCCACCTCTGTGGTTTCCACGGGAGGCGCGAGCGTCACGTCCTTGTTAGAATCAAAGAACTGAATATCAGGAAGCTGAAAAGTCGTGTTCATATTTGGAATGTCAATGCTTTGATGTTGTGCACTCTTGGTCCCTCTTGGTTCTGGGTCACTGGGGAGAGGTGATGGGAATGGCCCTGTTTGTTCTTCTGTTTTACACGTGCTTTGGTCAGAGCTCATGCTAGCCTTTGGGTATAATTCACTGAAATGTAAAGAGGACTTTTCATTTGGGTTCTGAGTTGCATCCACGACACTTCTGCTTTCATTCTCTTCAACATCGGCCTCTTGATGTTGTTTACTCTCTCCCTGCGGCGGAGCGGCGGCCTTGAGAGCGCTGTTGTGGCACATATTTAGCATAATGGCGTCGTCGATGGAGATTGTCTCATATTGACAGTGAGCGGGTGGATTCTCAGCGAAGGCCGTGGTTAGCTTCTCCGCCAACTGCTCACTCTGCTCACACTTCTGCTTCTTGTTCCGCTTGGTGTAAACACGAGGGCATTTTTTCCGCTTCTCTTCTTCATCTCTTGGATACAGCTTTGTAAATGTATTGTCATCGTCGAATATTGCTTTGAGATCAGGGCTAATCCCAGGGGGGTCCATGGGTGGGCGGCTGGGGCGAGCGTGGCTGTCATTTGTGCTGCTACTGTCCTCGCTTTTTATCTCCATCGTCACATTTCCACAAATTTCTTGTGTTAGTTTCTCTTCCGCCTCTGAGCTTCTCTCCGCCTCAACACACTGTCCTATTAAATTACCGTCCTCACATACAGCCTTATCCGTGTCTACATCTGTACATTTTTCGCTACTTGCCATCACATTCTTCTCTTCTTTGTGTTCTGCAGTTGGGTGCAACAATTTCACCTCTTCTGTAACAGATTGAGACGTACTTGTAAAAGCGACCGGAACAATCTCAGGGAAATCTTCCATCGCACTCGCCGCTTTCTCAGTCACATGCACTTGATTCTCTGGTGATTTACAGCGCTCTTGTAAAGAATTGTTTTGAAATCCAGGACTAATGGCTTGCAGAATGTTTGTCTTTATCAAATGCAGGAGCTGGTCAGAGAAGGGCTCAGGTGTGGGGTTTGCGTCTGTGTTTTTGCTTCTTTTTGCTTTCGTTTTCTTTAGTTTAAGGTGCGGCTCTGGTCCGTCCACTGCGATTGCACCAGTCTCATTATGCATTTCCTCTGAGACAAAGCCAGCGTCTTCAGCATTAGCCACGACAACAGGCTGCGAAATGACATCCAAGCTCGGCTGGGAATCATCTTTATGTGTCTTTTCTACAGGGTCATAAATAAGAGTTCGTTGCTGGCTGAAGTTTTGACTGTCATTGTGTTTCTCTGGCCGGATCAGATGCTTCATGGCCTTATGTCTTTTTAACCCTGGAACAGTTCTGAAGCACATGAGGCAGATTTCACACACCACTTTCCCCTGCTGAGCGTTCTGTGCCTTCTTATCCGCTTCTTGCTTGGGAGCTGTTGAACCCAGGCCAGCCTCTATTGTTAGATTCTTGCCGGACGGTTCTGGAAGAGGCTGCGTATCATTTTCACAGATAATCTTCGGAGTGGGCGGACCATCTGAAATGTTTTGCAAAACAGAATTGTCCTCAGCAGACACCTCACTGGAGTTCGCTCTCTCTACTTCAGTCGTTATACTTTTAAATTCATTGTGGCGGTCGTCCAAATGGCTTTTTAGCTCAGAGGCCAACGAAATGTCTCCAGTGGGAACATCAAATGAAATACATGTGAGCTGTTGGGTTTCATTAATTGGCGCAGGGCGGTGGGATGAAGTCAGCTCCAGGGTTAGCTCTGGTGTGTTGTTGAGAGTCTGTGCAGCGTTATTGTCTGGCTCCGTGTCATCGCTACACTGCTGCACCGGTGAAATTGGAATATAATCGTATTGATGTAATTTCGGAGGCTCATCTGATACGCTGCTGTAGTTTAGAGGGCTCAGCTTCAGACTGAACATTGGATTTGTCTTCTCGATACTTCCTGATTGCTGCGATGCCTCTGGGCCTGTTAAAGACAGAGGACAGGGGGTGCTATCTTTGGAGATTATTTCACCCAAGTCCAGGTGAGGGGGGCTTATCTTAGAATACTCCATCTCAGCGGCTGATAATATTTCCTGGTGATTGTCATCTTTGTCTTGGTGTGAGTTGGTCTGAATGGTCCAATCGCTGCTGCTCTGCGGATCTTCATCTTTGTCACTTTGTGTTATCGGTGCTGGGATTGAGGAGGATAGAGCTGAGAGGCTGGGCTGGGTAACATGCATGAATAGGCACTGACTGTCTTCCGTGTCTCTGCATGGGGAGTTCTGTCGACTGGCCATGAAATCAACAGGAAGCTGCTCTTTGATGTCTTGGACGTTTAGAATCTCCTGCTTCTGAACGCTGTCAAACTGTAGCTGCGTGTCGTGTCGTAATGGCTCGTTAAATGGATTCATTTTGCTGCAGTCTGAGCCCATCAGAGTTTGTGTGGAGCAGAGGATTATCAGACCGTCTGTGCATGGCGCTCTGTGGAAAGGTGAAGACTGATCGATGTTTTTGACGTTTGTCTTGGAGAGTGTGGGACTGCTGGGTTCATATTTGGCCATTAGTTCTAATGAAACATCACATCCCAAATTAGAAGCGTTATCTTTCTCCGCACTCTGTGTATATTCATTATTATTCATCTCAATATGTGTCGGGATCTTATCTGCAATATTGGATTGTTCAGTCAATATCTGTGTGACGCTGTCTTTGTTGTGAGTGTGCAGCGAGACGTCCACGAGCGCCGGAGAGACAGGCGTCCTGTCAGACTGATCCATGAGTCCTCTGACGGCCTCCGCACCCTCTGTACCCGCCACAGCCTCTGCACCCTCCGCACCCTCTGTACCCTCCACAGCCTCTGCACCCTCCACAGCCTCCACACCCTCCACAGCCTCTGCAGCCTCTGCACCCTCCACACCCTCCACAGCCTCTGTACCCTCCACAGCCTCTGCACCATCCACAGCCTCCACACCCTCCACAGCCTCTGCACCCTCCACAGCCTCTGCAGCCTCTGCACCCTCCACAGCCTCTGTACCCTCCACAGCCTCTGCACCCTCTGCAGCCTCTGCACCCTCCACAGCCTCTGCACCCTCCACAGCCTCCATAGAATCCACAGTCTCCTGTCTCATACTTAATTGTTCTGGGATGACATGAGTGCTTTCTAATAGCTCTCCCTCTGTGCTTCCAGGGGCCTCCTGCTCCACGTAAGGGTCAAGTGTCAACTCTCTGGGGCCATTGTCAGCTTTGATAGAATCACTATTTTCACTGATACAGTCCTTAGATGGCACTTCTTCTCCCACAGCCTCAGTGCAATTGTTTTCTGCAGGAATATCTGTTTCTGAGGAGATTGGCTCGATTCCACAGATGCCGGGGTCATTGCTTTCAGAGAGAAGTTTGTGTGACTCATTCAAAATGTATTCAATCTCATCCTTCCGCTCATTGATATTTGGAGGTGATAATATATTCTGCTGCCTGGTAATTGCTTCCCTTTCACTCTGATCCTCTGTCTCAAACACATTGGTTGTCTGACATTCAATTTCTTGAGGCTGTTGACTCGTGAGAGAAGTGACACCGGGCTCTTTCTGTTCCGTGATAATAGCTTCTTCTTTGAATATAGAATCAGAAATCACCTCCAGACTTTTCATCAGGTTTTCGGCGTATCTCTTCTGTTCTAAAGCCTCCTCCTTTGTTTCCGCAGGCACGTCTCTCTCCACCTTTCCCTCCTCCGTGGCTGTGGCAATTAAACCCAATCTATTGTTCCCTTCTTTCTCTGTCAGAGGTTCAAGGACCACTGCTTCACTTTGGAGAGGAGTGGGGGGGTCCGTGTGTCCGCCCATGAGCTCAAACTGGAAAGGACTGGCCCAGGGGAGAGCGGCCCCGGTGTAGGGCTCGCTGGGCAGGATGGCGATGGGTGCAGTTATCGCCTCCACGGTGCAGCCCATGTCCAAACTGGAGCTGTCGTTTTCACTCTCGTCACTGAGACGCAACGGTGAGAATTTGCTCATCTGCAGCGGCTTGGGGGAGTCTGGCACCAGCAGTGGCGGGCTCTCTAACTTTGTTGTTTGTAGCTGATTTTCAAGCTCATTAACTATTCTCTTTATCTCCAGCTCATCGTCGGAAACGCAGTTGGTGAGCGCGGCGCTGTAGTCAATGATCTTCTCTGGAAGCGACAGGGAAATATGATTATAATCTCCTTTCTTTTCGTGCGATTTCTCCGCTTTGTACTCTGATATTTCATCCGGAAGCACAGGGCTAACAATCATGCTCCAGTCAAACTCCTCCTTCTTGTCCGCAGAGTTCTCGATGGTGTGAAAGGCCTCTTTGGGAATGGGTATTTCCGAGTAAATCCCGCTGTCAAATCCGCCCATCTCTCCAAACATTGATGAGGTGTCAAAGGAGAGCGGCGACTTGATGAGCCCCGGGTCCGGCTCCAGACTGTAGGGCATGAGGTGAAGCGGGTCTTTTGGAATCAGAGCGTCCTGGGGCTGGACCGGGGACAGACACACACTATCCATCAGCGAACGACAAAGGGACGAGTCCTTGTGTGTGTCCAGGTCATTGACTAAAGTAATGGGTTCTTTCAGTGCACTGTCATTGAGTTTATCAAATGCCCCACAAGTGGATGAATCAGACCCTCCCCTCGGGCTTTTTCCGCTCCTCTCTGCTTTGAAATCCACCGTCTTACGAATGCCCAGAGATTGTGTTTCGTTGTGTAGTGGCTCGGTACATTGTTTGTTGTCCTGTGAAACACACACTTTCACTGGTTCTTTTTGGTTGTTTTTGTCCACAGAGCTTTGACAGTCTTTGCCGGGAAGCTTTTCTTTTGTTTTTGTCGGAGAGTTTTTCCGCTTCTCCACACTTTTTGACTCCTCTCTTGCTTTCGGTGAATCAGAAACTTGCGGTTGACTTTTCTTTAGACTCTGTGATGCGTCTGTCTTTTCAGCTTTCTCAGAGTTGTATTTCTTGACGGACTTGGTGAAGGTCAGTGCTAGCTTGCTGGACTCTTTGCACACCTTGTACGGGGAAGTCCTCTCGTAGGTCCGAGGTTCTGCTGGATCTTTCTTCTTCACCTCAGTCTTTCTCTCAGAGTCCGAGTTGGTGGAGTTGTTGGTGTCGGTGCTTTTGGGGCTGTTGGTTTCGCTGCTCGTCGAGGACCGGCTGCTTCTTCGCTTTAGCCTTTGCTTTTCCGGAAACACAGAGAGCTCCTCGCTTTTCTTCACCTCAAAACACTCTTTGGACTCGTGCCTCCAGGCCGCCTGGTCTCGGTCGCTCCGCGCTCGCCACTTGCACTCTTTGGTGTAGGTGTATTTGCACCGGCTGCTCTGGTTCAACCGGCCTTGGCTCGCGATTTTCACCGGTTCACATTCATCGTCAGAGTCCGAGACATAGTCGTACTCTCCAAAGGCCGGGTTCTGTACGGTGGGTGTGAGCCGCTCCATCACCAGGGAAAACTGTAGATTCTTGGTGCCTTTGACATGGAGCTTATGGAGCTTATTTTTCTGTTGGACTATTTTATGAATAAGTTCTTTGCTCCACGATCCCCCAGCGCTGTTTTTCCGTTTGCTCTCTTTGACGCTGGCTTTGGAGGTGGGTGATACCGAGGCCTGGGCGGAGGGGACGCAGCCGCTCTCTTGGAAACGCTCCGAAAACTTACTAGAAAGCACCAGCCTCGGTGTGTTCGGGTCTTCAACTTTGCACAGTTTTTGCGTCTCCTTCACTTTCCCGTCCTGTTCCCGCGCCTTCTCCCTCGAGGCGCCTCTTGAATTTTTATGAGGAACTTCTTTTTTAATGTTAATTTTCTCATCTTGTTCTAAATTCAAAGACATTTTCCCCACTTTGCATTCTGTGAACTGTTTTTCACTGTCAGGACTTTCCTCGTCTGTGTAAAAATACTTTCCCTGTGCTAAAGATCTGTCAAAATCTGCTTTGGATTTTCTCTTTTTGTCACATTCTTTCGTTTTCAAAGATTGTTTAGTCGACGTTGTTTTGATATTGTTTAGCTCATCATCACCAAACGCATCAATGAAGCTACTGTCTATTTCAGCATTGTCAGATTGATAACCCATTCCGTTCAGAGCCTCCGTAATTAAGCTGTCTAATTTGGCATCTTCCATCTCCAGTTCAGGCAGAGCAACAGGGAGATTCCCAGAGCCAGTAAACAGATTGAGTTTCAGTGAATCATCTTTGCTTTCTCCTTTTGTCTCACTCTCAGGAATAAGCTCCCCATTCTTATTCAGGCCCAGCAGCGAGAGGTGAATTTCAGACGGACAGCGAGACATGGAACTGTTTGAAAATGCAGAAATGGTTTTCACCGGTTCAGTATTAAACCTTTTACTCTCGTCTATTTTGGATAATTCTTTCAGTTCGTTCTGTGCAAAGGCATGCTGGGAGCAGTACTGTTTGTGGCCAAGAAAGGAGGCCAGGTTGTTGAAATTCTGGTCACACTGTTTACATGTGAGCAGCACGTCTAACTGGTCGAGGTTAGCCGTGGCTAGCGAGGTGGCTAACTGATGTGCAGAGTAGGAAGGCGGGGGCTGGTGATGCTCCACCCCAAAACTGTCAATGTATGTTTTGTTCACATCCAGGGAACTCTTGCTGTGCACGTTGTTTGGTAAGAAGCTCATGATGTTGTCTTTGCTGCGGTCAGCGAAGGCCAGAGCTCTGTCCGAGTGGAACTGGTGCGAGTTTAAGTCAGAGGAGGTTTTGGCTGGAGCTGGATGGTAGAAAGCATGAGCTGGAGCTGGCTTGTCCTCTGAGCTGAAGTTAACTGGGCTGGTGGAGGCCGGGGACAGGGAGGAGCATGTGCTGCTGGAGGCCGGGTTATGGACCGGAGAGGGCAGCGGGGACTCGTACGGAGACACCATCATGAGGCCCATGGGCGGCACTTGTAACGGAGGGTAGCTGTAGTTTCGAGATGATGGCGTCGCCAGGGGCTGGTTCAGGCCGAAGTACATAGTTTTATTCTTAGCTTCACACACTTGAGTGTGGCTCATTTCTACTTTAAACGTAGAGACGGCACTAGAGCCGTGTGTTATGGGTTCTGCTCGGCTGGTCTGAAACGTGTTGTTTTTCTGCGAGCCCTCAGAGGGAGGCACCATGTAGGCCAGTTTCTGGTTGCTGAGTTGCCGCGATAACTCAGTCACTCTGTTTTGGTGCAGAGCCGTGTTTGGCCTGATCTGCTGCCAGGGCATCCGGCTGTTTTTAGGAGTATTGGATCTTTGGTCACGCACCGGCTGGTTCTGGAACTGAAACTTTTCATTGACCTCAGTATATTGTGTGTTTTGATCATTAGATTGATATGTTTTGTTGTTACCTTCCCAGTTGTGTTGTACTCTGTTTACAATCTTATTATTCATATTTTTATCAAAGTTGGCGGACGCCCTGTGCATGCTGTTGGCTGTGGGATTAGTGTTTTTCTTGTTGGGAAAGTGCATTTGAGTTCCTGGGCCTGCTGTGACAGTTCTTGCATAGTGCACACTTCCCTGTGGGAGAGTTCTGGCAGCGGTGTCTTTAGTGTGACAGTTCCTCTTACTCCCTGATGTGTCTGTCTGTCCAACTGTATCTTTGCCCTTCTCTGACGGCTGTGAGCTGGAGCCAGAGCTGTCACTGCTCGCTGAGTCCTCGCTCAGACTGGAGGACTGTGCTGCAGGAACAAACGCAGGATCATTACTGAAGTGTGTCTGACCCACGCTCTGTCCGGCTCCGGAGCTAAAGGGGAAAGAATGAGTGACATGGGCTGAGCTCAGAGAGTCTGTGAAGTCCTGGGAAGGTGCAGCTTGTTCACAAGTGAAGGCGTCTGATGCAGACTCCTCCAGCAGGTGATATCCGTACGGAAAAGGCCCAGACACAAAGGGGTTAGATTTACTGCTGTCTGTGAGAGGAGCAGACTTATGTCCGAAGTTAGCACCAGAGAAAGTCCTGTCTGAAGACTGCCATGTGTTAGATCCACTGATCTGAAAGTCAGGCAGTAGGAGCTGGGATCCAGCTGCTCCACTGTCCATAGAGGGGTGGGTCTGGAGGGCGGGGGGCTGTGAGGTATAGTTCTGGGGGGCGGCTCCCGAGGCGCTCTCCTGGAAGCAGTGTGTGAAGCTGAGCTCGTCCTGCGGCAGCTCCGCCTCTCGTTCAGGTAAAGCAGGAGAGTGGAAGCGGTAGCTGCTGGAGACGGGGCCACGGCTGCTGTCCTTGGGAGGAGAGACCTTCTGCTGGGGGTACGCGATGCCGATGGTGGGGTGTGAGCGCGGGTGAGTGAGGCTTAGTCTGTACAGCTGCTGTGGGCCGCGCTCACACTTCTCCGAGCGTCTGACCTTCTCTCGGCGGCTCTTGGCGCTAGGAGACTGGGGGCTGGCTTTGCCGCTGGGCCAGGTCCGATCAGAGGCGAACTTAGTGAGACTCTGCAGCAGGGAGCTGAAGTCGATCTTTCCCGCCTGCTGCGGCCGGATCACAGCCTCTCTCTGCTGCGTCACGTCCTTCTCTGCTTTGTCTCTGGCTTCAGTGCTGCTCTTGGAAAAGTGCTGAGAGAACTCCTTGTCCTTGTGCTGCTCCAGCGCTGGCCTCTCGTCCCGCAGAGCGGCCTCTGAGTCCAGTTGTTTGACCGCATGTTTGTGCAGACTCTCTCCTGCCATGGTGCAGAGTGGGCCTCAGAGCGAAGGTCTGGGAAACAAGGGCATCTTCCTCCAATCAGAGACTGCAGCTCATCTCTTCACACGCATCCTGGACATCCGTCTGGCAGCAGCGAGCAGAGACCTGCAGACACACAACACACGGTTCAATACACACAAAGTAACATTAATAATAATATTAATAATAAAACTCAAAGCCACTTTACATGTCCTTATTCTTTCACTCCAATCACTGTGGTGATATACTACTACTGCAAAAACAGCTGCCCTGGGGCACACTGACAGAAGCGAGGCAACCAGTCTGTGCCGTCGGCCCCTCCCACCAGCACCAACCATTCACACACACACCAGACTCATTCTAATGTGGGGGAAGTGTCTTGCCAAAGGACACAACCACAGTTTGGCACTTTACAGCCGCCCCACTGTGGCACCTGCTGTTCCCAGAGGTCTCCCATCACAGTACTAACCAGGCCCTGTCCTGCTTAGCTTCAGAGGTTAAATACTGCAGAAAGACACAGTCACAGAGATGTATTTAAGTAAAGTAGGATCTGTCAGATACAAAGACCTCCAGCAGAGGGCAGTGCTGACACATCACAGACTCAGCACAAAGAGACAGTGTAATCCACAGGAAATCTTCCAAAACTGCACTTTGAGAATCAAATGACACTGGAATAAGACAACATCTGATGAAATAAGCAGAGTTTCGTACGGAGAGAAACAATGGCTGTGGCTTCATCGTTATGTAACAAACAACTCAATAAAATGTTACTGCACAGACTACAGCGAGAGAGTCCAGAGCCAATCATGAATCAGCGGCTCCTGCAGGGACAATGCCACACTGTTCTAATGAGGGGAAGAGGGCAGGGGTGTCCAAACCTTTAGTAAGAGGCCCACTGTAGTTCACCACACTACTCCAGGGCCCGACATCACAGACTGAAAAACTGTCTTGACTGAGATCGGGCTGTTCTGAGATTTATGATGATCTATGACAGAGCTGAAGTTGGCTGAATGACACATGTTTTACCATCTCCCCAGCTACAATCAAAAACCATGTCAGTAAAGTTTGTGCAAGATCTATATTGGCTGAGCTGAAGTTGCATGGTTGACACAGGGAACTTGTGTTTATGATCTCAGAGACTACTGTGGGTTAGCAAGACAGAGGGCCACATACAATGACACTGAGGGCCGTACTTGGCCCCCGGGCCTGAGTTTGGCCATACCTGTTTTAGGGGAATATGGAGGATCAGCAGAGATAGAGACAGAGACAGAGACAGAGACAGAGACAGAGGCAGAGGCAGAAGCAGAGACAGAGACAGAGACAGAGACAGAGACAGAGGCAGAGACAGAGACAGAGACAGAGACAGAGACAGAGGCAGAAGCAGAGACAGAGACAGAGGCAGAGACAGAGACAGAGACAGAGGCAGAGGCAGAGACAGAGGCAGAGACAGAGACAGAGACAGAGACAGAGACAGAGGCAGAAGCAGAGACAGAGACAGAGGCAGAGGCAGAGGCAGAGGCAGAGACAGAGGCAGAGGCAGAGACAGAGACAGAGACAGAGACAGAGACAGAGGCAGAGACAGAGGCAGAGGCAGAGACAGAGGCAGAGGCAGAGGCAGAGGCAGAGACAGAGACAGAGACAGAGGCAGAGGCAGAGACAGAGACAAGTGTGAAAACAGAAGAGATTTGGAGAGAATCCAGGACGCTCAAAAAGGCCGTTCGGCAAAATGTGTACAACAAACCCGGGAAGTTGTATCAGCAGCAGCTCTCACTCTCTCTCCCTCTGTCAGGTCTCTCTCTCTCTCTCTCCCCCACTCCATATATATATAAGATAAGATAAGAGAGATCCTTTATTCGTGTACAGTGGGGAAATGTCAGTGTTGGCACGCACAGACAGGACAGTAGTCAGAGACACAGGGAGCACACAGAACTAATACAAAATAAGCAGAGCTGTGTTTCTTTGCTTCATTGCGTTACACGATGACAGTATTTACTATTTACAGATGAATGACATGTACAGAGTCAGCAGTTCTCGTTGTACAGTCTGACAGCAGCAGGAAGGAAAGACCTGCAGAACCTCTCCTTCACACAGAGAGCGGATCAGTCTGTCACTGAAGCTGCTCTCCGACAGTCATGCTGCAGCATAGTACAGAAACACCACAACAAAGTAATACAAAGGTTTTTACAGGTCTCCCATCACAGCACTGACCAGGGCCTGTCCTGCTGTACGGCAAAGGGACAACACTAACAACCAAAACAAATCCTCATCACCTCCTCCACATAGACATCCAGCGGGCTCCTCTCCAGGTGGAGGAACAGCAGCTGTACTCCGAGCTCCCCGTGTGACTGAGCCTCTGTCACGTGGATCACTTCACACATTATTTAATAATGCAGTGATTTTGGATCAATCCCAAAAACACAAAACAAGTCGAGGCTCAGCACAGATTAAAACCCCGGCCTCAGGTGTTTCTCCCTCTCTCTGTCTCTCTCTCTCCCCCACTCGCACTCTCTCTCTCTCTCCCTCACTCTCTCTCCCTCTCCCCCACTCTCACTCTCTCTCTCCCGCACTCTCTCTCCCTCACTCTCGCTCTCCCTCACTCTCTCTCTCCCTCTCCCTCACTCTCTCTCTCTCTCCCTCTCGCACTCTCTCTCTCCCTCACTCTCGCTCTCCCTCACTCTCTCTCTCCCTCTCCCTCACTCTCTCTCTCTCTCCCTCTCGCACTCTCTCTCTCCCTCCCTCTCGCTCTCCCGCACTCTCTCGCTTTCACTTCACCCAGCTCCTGTGGACTCAGCACCTGCAGGAGGATCAGTGAGGGGCTGGTGCTCTGTGTACTGGGAGCAGCTCTGACTGCCACCCCCTGACCCAGAAATGGATTAAGGGGAAGAAGATGGATGGATGGATGTTTGAGGATTTGCATCAGTTAATTTACAGAACATGCCACTATGAAGATGTTGTCTTTTTTTATTGTGAGGCAAACAACAAATAGGACAAAATAACAGAAAATGTCAATGTGCATAATTATTCACCCCCTAAAGTCAATACTTTGTAGAGCTCCTTTTGCGGCAGTCACAGCTCCAAGTCACTTTGGATAAGTCTCTATGAGCTTGCCACATCTTACCACTGTCTGGGATGTTTGCCCATTCCTCCTTGCAAAACTGCTCCAGCTCCTTCAAGTTGGATGGTTTGCGCCTGTGAGCAGCAATCTTTAAGTCTGACACAGATTTTCTGTTCGATTGAGGTCTGGGCTTTGACTCGGCCCAACACATTTACATGTTCCCCCTAAACCACTGAAGTGTTGCTGTAGCAGTGTGTTTGGGGTCATTGTCCTGCTGGAGGTGAACCTCCGTCCTAGCCTCAAATCACGCACAGGTGGTACAGGTTTTGTTCAAGAACATCCCTGTATTTAGCACCATCCATCTTTCCCTCAACTCTGACCAGTTTCCCAGTACCGGCTGCTGAAAAACATCCCCACAGCATGATGCTGCCCCCACCATGCTTCACTGTGGGGACGGTGTTCTTTGGGTGATGTGATGTGTTGGGTTTGCGCCAGACATTCCTTGATGGCCGAAAAGTTAAATTTTAGTCTCATCAAACCAGAGCACCTTCCTCCATACATTTTGGGAGTCTCCCACATGCCTTTTTGCAAACTCAAAACGTGCTATTTTGTTTTTTGCTGAAAGTAATGGCTTTCTTCTGGCCGCTCTGCCATAAAGCCCAACTCTATGGAGCGTACGGCTTATTGTCTCTGCTGTGGAACTCTGCAGCTCCTCCAGGGTTACCTTAGGTCTCTGTGCTGCCTCTCTGGTTAATGCCCTCTGTGCCCGGTCCGTGAGTTTTGGTGGGCGGCCGTCTCTTGGCAGGTTTGCTGCTGTGCCATGTTCTTTCCATTTGGTTATGATAGATTTGATGGTGCTCCTGGGGATTATCAAAGATTTGGATATTTTTTTATAACCTAACCCTGACTTGTACTTGTCAACAACACTGTCCCTGACTTGTTTGGAGAGTTCCTTGGTCTTCATGGCAGTGTTTGGTCAGTGGTGCCTCTTTCTACACTGTTACAGCCTCTGAGGCCTTTCAGGTGTGTATGTACTGACAGATCATGTGACACTTAAAGGTGTGTGTGTGTACTGACAGATCATGTGACTCTTAAAGGTGTGTGTGTGTACTGACAGATCATGTGACACTTAAAGGTGTGTGTATGTACTGACAGATCATGTGACACTTAAAGGTGTGTGTATGTACTGACAGATCATGTGACTCTTAAAGGTGTGTGTGTGTACTGACAGGTCATGTGACTCTTAAAGGTGTGTGTGTGTACTGACAGATCATGTGACACTTAAAGGTGTGTGTATGTACTGACAGATCATGTGACACTTAAAGGTGTGTGTTTGTACTGACAGATCATGTGACTCTTAAAGGTGTGTGTGTGTACTGACAGGTCATGTGACTCTTAAAGGTGTGTGTGTGTACTGACAGATCATGTGACTCTTAAAGGTGTGTGTGTGTACTGACAGGTCATGTGACTCTTAAAGGTGTGTGTATGTACTGACAGATCATGTGACTCTTAAAGGTGTGTGTGTACTGACAGATCATGTGACTCTTAAAGGTGTGTGTGTGTACTGACAGATCATGTGACTCTTAAAGGTGTGTGTGTGTACTGACAGATCATGTGACACTTGGTTCGCACACATTAATTATGTATGTGACTTCTGAAGGAAATTGGTTGCACCAGAGCTTTTTATGGCCTTCACAACAAAGTCATCCGCAAAACAAATACGTAGATATATAAATAATATTTTTTAATTTTATTTTATTTTTTACAAAAACTAAAAATAAAACAATTTTTAAGTAAATATATAGAATACTCTGAACAATAGATGATTATTCCTATAGCTATATGTTGAATAATTTTGATATCTGGCAAATGGACAGAATGTGATGTTGGTTTAGTCAGTCGTCCTCTACTGTGTGTTCACATTTATATATACATATACACACACAAATACATATACACACACATACATACTTATGCAGACTCGTGCTGCTCAGCAGGTTCACAGGGCCTGGTCCCTGTGATGTCCTATTTAAGTCTTATGGGACTTTCCAGATTTATCTCGACTTTTGGACTCAGCATCAAACCCTGAACACACTGCTCTCAAATCTGTTCCATAAAGTGTGTTTTAGAGGCTTTTTACAAGTCAATTATGGCTGAGTGTGTGTGAGGGAGGGGGGGGGGGGGAGGAGCAGGGGGGAGGTGGCGCCCCACGGAGCTGCTGAGTCTGAAGAACGCGACGGCTGCGGTGAAATGAATATGAGACTGAGGAACACAGGGACTGATGCTAATTCTGATGCTAATTCTGATGCTAATACTGATGCTACTTCTTGGGTTTCATTAAACTGTCCAGTAGGGGGCGAATGAGCAGAGATGGGACAGTTTTGCTCCCAAACCATGTAAAGTCTGTTTTGGAGTCAAAGGCTCTCGTCCTGTGCGGTGTACGGTTGTTGGAACAGTCTTAATCGGGGACACTCAATTCTAAGGGAGTACTAAGAAATATTTCTCAAAAGAGTCATGATTTCTGGCGTTTCGTTCGGGTGGCCTGCAGGGGGCGCTTATCTGGGAAAGCCTTGATCCACCTCGCCCGCCTCATTCCAGTGATTTTTTCAAAGTGTCCTTTATATGAGACCACAGTTGGAACATGAACAAACTCTGGTCTTTCTGTCTATTTGTGCGGTTGCTACAAGCGTACACCGCACAAAAAGATGGCATTTTGACAGAGCTTCTTCTTCTACTATATCTCCGTGTATAAACCCGACAGACTGCACCGCCAGGGGACGTCACGTCCTGTCCTACGTTTGTTATTCGCCACTGCCCTGATGTCATATGGAACCTAAGAATACCAATGCTAATACCGATGATATTACTGATGCTAACACTGATGCTAACACTGATGCTAACACTGATGCTAACACCTACTGTATACTTCCACATGTGTAAACGCTCATGTTTTACCTCATTGAAATTAAAATAGACCGATTCTAGTCATAATAGTTTAACGATCCGTGTTGTTGAACTAAAGTGGCTAAAAGTTTGGACACTCCGGCGTCAACATCGAACTCTGCAGCGTACATTTCTCAAAACCCAAAAGTAAATTCTCTGTGTTTCCAGGACCTCTCAGTGATAAATGTGGAGCTTCACTTCAGAAACCATAATGACTTTTACAGTTTCACAGTCTCCAAGAGAGGAGAGGAGGAGAGAGGAGAAGAGAGGAGGAGAGAGGAGAGGAGAGGAGAGGAGGAGAGAGGAGGAGAGAGGAGGAGAGAGGAGAGGAGAGGAGGAGAGAGGAGGAGAGAGGAGAGGAGCAGAGAGGAGGAGAGAGGAGAGGAGCAGAGAGGAGGAGAGAGGAGGAGAGAGGAGAGGAGAGGAGGAGAGAGGAGGAGAGAGGAGAGGAGCAGAGAGGAGGAGAGAGGAGAGGAGCAGAGAGGAGGAGAGAGGAGGAGAGAGGAGAGGAGAGGAGAGGAGAGGAGGAGAGAGGAGGAGAGAGGAGAGGAGCAGAGAGGAGGAGAGAGGAGAGGAGAGGAGCAGAGAGGAGGAGAGAGGAGGAGAGAGGAGAGGAGAGGAGAGGAGAGGGAGGAGAGAGGAGGAGAGAGAGGAGAGGAGCAGAGAGGAGGAGAGAGGAGAGGAGCAGAGAGGAGGGGAGAGGAGGAGAGAGGAGGAGAGAGGAGGAGAGAGGAGCAGAGAGGAGGAGAGAGGAGAGGAGAGGAGGAGAGAGGAGCAGAGAGGAGGAGAGAGGAGGAGAGAGGAGAGGAGAGGAGGAGAGAGGAGCAGAGAGGAGGAGAGAGGAGAGGAGAGGAGGAGAGAGGAGGAGAGAGGAGAGAGGAGGAGAGAGGAGAGGAGAGGAGGAGAGAGAGAGAGAGAGAGGAGAGAGGAGGAGAGAGGAGAGGAGAGGAGGAGAGAGGAGGAGAGAGGAGCAGAGAGGAGGAGAGAGAGGAGCAGAGAGGAGGAGAGAGGAGGAGAGAGGAGCAGAGAGGAGGAGAGAGGAGGAGAGGAGGAGAGAGGAGGAGAGAGGAGAGGAGAGGAGGAGAGAGGAGAAGAGAGGAGGAGAGAGGAGAGGAGAGGAGGAGAGAGGAGAGGAGAGGAGGAGAGAGGAGCAGAGAGGAGGAGAGAGGAGAGAGGAGGAGAGGAGGGGAGGAGGAGAGGAGAGGAGGAGGAGAGAGAGGAGAGAGGAGAGAGGAGCAGAGAGGAGGAGAGAGGAGGAGAGAGAATGTGATGTTGGTTTAGTCAGTCGTCCTCTACTGTGTGTTCACATTTATATATACATAAATGTATATATAAATGACCATTTTTGTATATATACTGTATATATATATATATATGATGTCTTATAAGCAATGAAAAAACCAAAATGGTCATTTTTGTAAATTGCCGTGTGCCTGAAAATGCTAAAATAGCCTTTTTCGATTTTCCATTTCCTTCAAAAATAGAAAATGTATTGAACGCAAAAGTACACGGACCCTAAAGCTAGCGCTAGGGTTTTCACACTTAGCTTCTTTGTGATGCTAACGTCAGGATTGTTGAAGACCAGTTAAAAATGACAGTTATGAAAGAACAGCTGGAGATCTATGTCTGTACAGCTTTAAGAACAGAAGCCTCCAAACCTCTGTGTGTGTGTGTGTGTCTGTGTGTGTGTGTCTCTGTGTGCGTGTGTGTGTGTGTCTGTGTGTGTGTCTGTGTGTGTGTCTGTGTGTGTGCGTGTGTGTGTCTGTGTGTGTGTCTGTGTGGTTAGCTCTCTGTGGGGCGTGAGGACGTCTGCCTGTCTGTGTGTGTGTCCTCTCTGTGTCTGTGTGTGTATGTCTGTGTGCGTATCTATGTGTGTGTGTGTCCTCTGTGTGTGTGTCTGTGTGTGTATCCGTGTGTGTGTGCGTGAGGCAAAACCAACCCCCACCACTTTTTCCTCTTTCTCAGACCTTTTTTCCTCCTATTTATTTTTTTCTAACCACTGGGTCCTGGACTCGGTCCTGGATTCGTTCCTGGTCTCGGTCCTGGTCTCGGTCCTGGTCTCGGTCCTGGACTCGGTCTGTTTCCATATCACTCGCCACAACATTCCACACACATGATGGAATCTTTGTTTTAGAGCATTTAAAGGTTATTTGCTCCTATTTCTGACCTGGATTCTCTAAATATGACCCTGTACCTGTGCTGAGCCCCCCTGTACCTGTGCTAAGGCGCACTGTACCTGTGCTGATGCCCACTGTACCTGTGCTGAGGCCCCCTGTACCTGTGCTGAGCCCCCCTGTACCTGTGCTGAGCCCCCCTGTACCTGTGCTAAGGCGCACTGTACCTGTGCTGATGCCCACTGTACCTGTGCTGAGCCCCCCTGTACCTGTGCTGAGGCCCCCTGTACCTGTGCTGAGCCCCCCTGTACCTGTGCTGAGGCGCACTGTACCTGTGCTGAGGCGCACTGTACCTGTGCTGAGGCCCCCTGTACCTGTGCTGAGGCCCCCTGTACCTGTGCTGAGGCGCACTGTACCTGTGCTGAGGCCCCCTGTACCTGTGCTGAGGCGCACTGTACCTGTGCTGAGGCGCACTGTACCTGTGCTGAGGCCCCCTGTACCTGTGCTGAGGCGCACTGTACCTGTGCTGAGGCCCCCTGTACCTGTGCTGAGCCCCCCTGTACCTGTGCTGAGGCCCCCTGTACCTGTGCTGAGCCCCCCTGTACCTGTGCTGAGCCCCCCTGTACCTGTGCTGAGGCCCCCTGTACCTGTGCTGAGCCCCCCTGTACCTGTGCTGAGCCCCCCTGTACCTGTGCTGAGCCCCCCTGTACCTGTGCTGAGCCCCCCTGTACCTGTGCTGAGCCCCCCTGTACCTGTGCTGATGCCCACTGTACCTGTGCTGAGGCGCACTGTACCTGTGCTGAGCCCCCCTGTACCTGTGCTGAGGCCCCCTGTACCTGTGCTGAGCCCCCCTGTACCTGTGCTGAGGCGCACTGTACCTGTGCTGAGGCGCACTGTACCTGTGCTGAGGCCCCCTGTACCTGTGCTGAGGCCCCCTGTACC